CAAGGCGAGCGCAGCCCAAGCCTGGACCCCTTCTGCTGACATCAAGACACAGTCACACAGCGTGCACGCTACTCAGCCTGCTTGTCCTGAGATGCTATATCTGACACGCTCGCTCTTAGGTGCAACTACAGGCGGCATCTCTGATCGATGATCACCGCTGCACCTCGGTCCCCAGCCCTCAGTGACGTTACAGCAATTCCAGGTTGTTTTCCAGGAGGACGGGGAGAGGATTATGGCTTTCTTGAAATGATCGTTGGTATTGCTGGGAAATTTGCTTTTTGTTCTTCTGAAATGATTAGCTAAAAGTAATCTATTATTCAAGATTCTCATTAACCAGAGGTGATTCAGCAAAGGCAGAAAACAATACATGTAGATAATACCTGCACGGAGCAGGATTATGCACCTCAGCGAGCGTCCCTGGATGGGTAGCAGCTTTTACACGCCTGCCTCTGGGCTCTGGAAATATCTTCCTGGCCTACAAGGAGCTGCCTTCAGCAAGTGCTTCAATAGGTGTCAGTCTCGGTGGTGCTGATTGTGCAGCTGGGAGGCCGTACAGAGCCCAGCAAGTCCCGGCACGTCACTGGAAACCAGCAGCGATTCTTTCCCTCTCAATGTCGCTTCACAGCCCTTGCTGATGATGCCGTTCAGCCGGATGAATGAGAGGCCTCCTCCGGGCATCCAGTGTCAGCAGAGGGGAAAAAAAATAAAACCAAACCAACCCTCAAACTCAAACCAGCATTTTTTGGTGAGTCCTAGAATAATGCCAATTTCTAATGTTATCTACAGCTTTAGAGTTAAGATTACAGGCTGGGTTTGTGCTGATTTGCATACAAAGCCAGACTGCCATTCTAAAAGTAACATTACTATTATTTTAAAATGACACATGGCTCTACTTTTTATCTGGGAATCGACATGGTATGAAACATCAGTCAATGGCCTTGAAAACAAGACTCTCAAAAAAAAACCAACCCAAACCCCCAAAAACCCAACATTAAATAAAAAGCATTAGAATGATATATTCTGGTGGAAGTGAAAATATTCACCAAGAGGGGAGAAGGAATATGACTTCCAATGAATTTTTATAAAAGAAGCAAGTTAGTAGATGATCCGTCAGGGAAAATGTTAGTGCAGGGTTACAATTTAAATACGACAATTGTGCTGTGTCATACAGGATGAATCGGGTAACAAGAGTCTATGACCAGCTGCAAAATAGAGAAGCTGCCTTCCCAGCGCATGATGTTACAGCACACAAAGACAAAACCAGCAATTTCTGGTCCAAGAGTGATCCAAGCCACAGGCAAGCATTACACTGAGCAGTTTTGTCTCTATGCAAAGCTGCAGTGTTTGAGGGAAAACGGTTACTCGTGGTTTTCCTGCCGCCCCATTTTGCTGATTCCAGGTGGGAAAGCCCCTGTGAGTCACAGGTGAAGGTGGTGAAGGTCCAAGAGGCAGGGCTGCCTCTACCTTAACTCTTGATTGGGCTCCCACCTTACTCCCTTCCATCAGACAGAGCTTAACTAATTTTTAGATCATTAAGCCATATTTTAGCAATGAAATAAGATTAAAGTAAAAGATACTACTGTCATTAGGGGCCCTCATCTATTGTCACTACATCTGGAAAGCTGTCTTTTAAAATTATTGGTTTATAAAGCTGGAAAAAAATTACAAGGGTGGAGATATTTCATCTTTCAAATTCTTTAATAGCTATGTGCTTTAGACCCTGTATTGGATTAGCAATTTTTGCTTTGGAGACATTACAGTACACATAAAACCCCCATGTATTTTGATGCTTCTTAGCTATAGTGTCATGATGAAGACATGAGACACAAAAAAACAGCCCAAGAAAACCCTAATGTGCAGCAAATCTCTGCATGGATACCAGGGCACACACAGAGTTTGTATGTTGGCCTCTTGCCTTCCTAGGTTGAAAGTCACTTCCTTCCTAAGCAGTTTGATGAAATAGCTAGTGTCAGTCAAGGACAAGGGCTCACAACTGCATCACACTGTTGGTAGCCTACCAGGGTCGCTCCTGGTCATTCTCTGGGTCCAAAAGCACATTCAGTAGACACATCCTTTGTATCATTCAGCAGAATTACCAGCCAGTCTGAGCAGTGATGACTGCAATCCTAGTTAGAGACGCAAAACATCTCTAAAAGGTGTTTTACCTTTTTGCTTTTAATACACTATTAAGTGTGGAACTAGAAGAGGAGCATAAATAGGACAGCAGTGAAACAGTAAATAACACAAATGATGTGAAAGTTCTTTTGTGGGGAAAGTGCAATGAGTTACCAAAACCCAACTTAATTGGAATTGAAGCCTTGCTGTGTGTGTGCATACGTGTGTGTGCATGTATGTGCATTCACACACGTATGGAAACCATCAAGACTGTCTTTTGAGATAACAAAGAAGTCCTGCCTGCATGTGAAGCTAAAAGCTTTTATTTCTGAACACCAGGTGAGACTAAGAGTAATGGAGAAGACTCCTTTAGTGTCCTGACATACATTAAAGGGTCAGTAATTCCTAGTTTTATAACTGTTGTATCAATTCCCATTCTTCTGGAATCTGCAATAAACTCTGAGCATGCCTCTGAATCATCAGGTGGGTGCTCTGGATGCTCCATAACAACTCAGAGCCATCGCAAGAAAGCACTGACAGTAGTCCAAGTATTGTGACAGTTTTTCACAAAATTGTCACCCACACATACAGAAACGAGAAACTCTTTTTCCTCCCTTAGAGTTTTTTTAATGCATTTTACCATAAGAAATTGTATCATTGTTCTTAGCATTATCATTGAAAACAAGTGCTAACAGTCTGTGGCAAAGCCAGTTTATTAGGTTTCCGGGATTCTGTGGTGCCCTCCCCCCAACACATACAAAATAACCCAACTTTACAATTTGGTAAAGTGAAAATACATATACAAAGTATTCAGTACTTTTGACATCACTTCTGTGGGCAGAACACTACCACTGAAAGCCAGGAAGCATACTGAATCCTGCGTTAATGACCACATTACCTTTATGGCAGAACCATTAAAACATGCTTTGTGCTGAAGACAAAACTACATACTTCAACATTGTTTCCACACAATTTTAATGACATGAGGGCCCTTATTTACAGGTTGCGAATAACTCAAAGCTTAACAGATTTGCAGATCTTTGATATAAAATTTAACAGTAACGTTGTAGCTACATAATTTCCTTACCTCAACCCCCAACCTGACTGACTCACTTTGGAATTCTTCATTCTGTGGGGTTTTTTTTAATTAAAAAAAAGAAGAAAAAAGAATGCTTGCTGACATACTGATTATACAAATAGTCAAGATGGATCCTTTTGAGAAAAAGGATTAAGGACATGAGTGAAAAATTGTCCAAGAGGATTGTAAACCACATTTATTTACAATAGTATACACATAAATTTAAGATCAATCCTTTTCTTAAAAAAAAAAAAACATCATTAAGGACACTAGTGTTAAAAAGCTGATTGTTTCTGAAAAGACTGTAAACCAAATTCTAGTCATGTAAGGTTCAAAGTGAATACAAAAGTTCCCTTTTACAAAGGTTTCCTAAACAAAATTACTGTTGCAGTTGTAGCAGCTTTATACAGGGAAAAAAAATTTACCTTTTGATTAGATTCTTTTTAAACATCTTAATCATATTAGACCAAATTCAATGCTCTTTCTAAATCTAGAAGAAAGTCAATGCATTTTTCTTTTGTCAGTATAACTTGCAATAGAATCACATCTTATTAACTGTAGTAGTTTACATAATATTAGTTATCTTGTTTCAATAACCTTTTTCCTATGTGATCACTAGGGTGGCAGCTTCTGAACTGGCCCTCCCCTTTAGTTTCCAGTCAGCATCACACACTACACATTGCAAATTAAAAAAAAAAAATAATTAAAAAAAAAATTACCTCAATTCCTTTAAAAAGTAAGTCACAAAACACTGTTCGACATGGCATATGAATGAAGTCATAGATTGCATTCTATGGCTCACATTTTGCTGTACATAATTACGTGCAACCTAGCACCATTTTTATTATGAAACTTGACCTTCAGACAGAACTGAAATAACATAGTTACAATTATGAGAACACAGAAGATGGTTCTAGAGGAGTAATTTCCCACCTGATCCACCACTAACTCACATTAGTAATGCCAAGGATGCCCAACATACAGCCATGACGTACACAAGCAGGTTTTAGTTCAAAAATCTCTTAACAGATTATGTAGTTGGCAGGTTTTCTCCATATTTCAAGATCTAATTTATCTTGTATTCAGAGGTATTTTAAGGAAGTCCCATATTCCTAACATTTCGTCTTAAGCGCTTCCATCCCTGAAATATGTCATGAAGTTGGTTGTAAAAAAGCTTTTTCAAGATATCTGAAAAGCATTCATCATCACTAAAATCCTCTGAAACCCCAATCTTTGAAAACCAGCATGCTTCAGCCAACTTCACTCACTCTTTTAATTACTGAAGTGTTTTACTTACCCTGGGACACTCAACTCAAATACGGCATCTTTAGAAATACATCGGCATTGAAGTTTTAGTAAGGTCAGAGAAGTTATAGCCCCAAATTTACCCCAAATCCTGTGCTACAGTACTTTCAATAAGAAGGAATGCATAGTTTATTTTTACATGCTAATTATGAAAAATTAATGAACTTTTAAATATCAAATAATTGCCTAAGAGGTAGGGACAAGTTTGTTAATTGTCTTCCCATTGCCATGAAGAAATAGACAACGTTTACAGTGGAATGACAGGCCAAAAGCTAGCAGTTTGCACTTATGCTGACAGCCCGAACTTTATCTGACAGTCCTGGGTTTTGTTTTTAAACTAAAAAGGTACTTGCTTAGCAATTTGCTAGCAGTCACCAAATATTCCTTCATATACCAAAAATCTCCCCACTCACTGACCCAAAAAATCAAGCTATCTGGCTGTCACAAAACACTTTTTTCTCCCATGTTATTGCAATGCAAGTAGCAACCAAAAATGTTAGTAAACTGGCTTACTATTTATAACCGTACCACAAGTGATGAAAACAACCTCAGGCAGCAAGAGCTCAAGTAGAATTGCTTTGTCAAAACTTCACTTGAAAGTTTACTTTCCCTGTATATTTATAGCGAAACTTCAGTAATTCAGAAAGTACAATTACAAAGTGCAAGAACATGAGATGGGCACATCTACACCAGAAAAAAACCACATTAAAGTGCCAAAGAGATTCGCTATAATTGCTACCAAAACCTGGAACTTTGCCAAGATCACAATTTCAAAGCATTTGCAAACAAGACAAGGTGAGAGCTGATAATAGCACGATTTAACACCAGCAGGTCATGGCAGGTTTTAGTTCAGGCTTTATATGTATTTCATCGCGATCTGGGGGTTGACTAAGCATTAATGGCTTGTGACTTTTAAGCTTGTGAGCCAGTGTCATAAATATGGCCTCCACATGGTCATTGTCATTGGGGTTTTTGGCAGAGGTTTCAAATAACGGCATACTGTGAGTATCGGCAAACTTCTGGGCCAAGTCCGTCGGAACCTGAATAGCACTCCTCAGGTCACACTTATTTCCAACAAGAATCCGTGGTATATCGTTGGCAAGAAGGTGTTGTTTGCATTCCTCTATCCATGACGGCAGACTGTGAAAACTGGCAATGTTTGTCATATCATATACAAACACAACAGCATGTACATTCCTGTAATAGTGCTGCACCATGCTCTTTCTGAAGCGTTCCTGGCCTGCCGTATCCCATAGCTGGATCTGAAAATGGAAAGACGATGAGAGAAAAAAAATTGGTTTATTACTCATGTTGGAAAATAATACAAATTACCTGTAGCAAGGGAAGTCACATGATCACAGAAATCCATTCTGCTGAATTAATTATATTGAAACGTTTGCGCTGAAAAAAGTGTTGCTTTTACACAATTTCAGAAACTTTTGCTTTAAAAACTGCAAAAAAATTGAAGCCAGGAAGAAATTATGATGCAACTTGATCACAAATATGAATTTCTGAAAGTTTTTTGGAGTATGTATTTTGTAAGATTTTTACAAAAACAAATACTGAAGTCTTGGCAATAGCATTTTTATTTGAAAAAAACCAACATGTATTTCACAGCACAACTCTCGGCTGACACAGTTTTTTATTGCCAAAAAAACCGTCATCTTCCCCAAAGTGCTGTTCTTAGCATGAAGTTAACTGCCTATTGTGGTACTACATAAAAGTAGGAAGAAATCAAATCATGCATGAATAACATCAACAAAATCAGGACAAAGAAATCTTTCTCTGTAGTGTATCTATTGGAATCAAACCCTCCTGTGATGAACCTCTACCTTAAGCTTATTTAATGCTTAAACTATGACCACACTGTGGTTTGTAGTATCAAAACATGCATAAAAAGGGAGGGGAGGAAAAAAAAAACCACCCAAACCCATAAACCTCCTGTTAGCTTAACATAACACTACTGTTTGCAGGTACACACCATTTGATCCCAAACAGACTGAAGCCTAGTCAGTGTAACGGACCAAAACATATTCAGAAGAACTTAAATGCTTTCAAACTTCTCAGGTGCAGATTACAACACCACAAAACAAGCCTTGAAGCAAAAGGAGATGTAAGCAACAACTAATAAAAATTTTAAATGCATCAATCATCCTGGTATAATGGAAGCCTGAGAGTCCTCAGATGCGTACAGTACACTACATAGCTGTGCACTTACTGGAGACAGTGATATTTTAACAAACTTGCTCTCCAGGAGACACGGGACTGCAATATACAGCAGTCAGAGCCAACGCACCTGCAACGCTAGATTTACTGTATGCTGTAAGAAATAAACTAGCACGTGGCTCTATTGCACACGCCTTAGCGATGGTGTTAACGCTGAAAGACAACACGCAATTTCTTGGGTCAAAGCTGAGTCCTAGCTTCCTGTCCATCCTGTACAGCTGATCCCTGATGGCTGAGGCAGTTTGATTAGTACTTCAGCTTTTAACTTTTGAGCAGGAAATGGCAGAAAGAAATGTTTCCTCCCTGGGAAAGAAAGGAGAGTTTCTTTTCAGATTCAGAATTCAAGGAATATTAAGTGTTCTGTAGATGATGAAGGTAAATTTAAAATTCAACCTGTTCCCATGAAAGGTACAGCCAGTATCTTCCCTTGATGAAATTGTTCTCCCATTACCATAGTTCTGCATACCTTTGATCCAAATGTTTCAGTAAAACTTATTTAGAAATTGCAAGTGTCTTGAAAGTTGCCTTGTTTACCATTTTTACCAGTGACTTTGATATTAAAAAAAAGGAAACCCAAGTGCCAGAGAAATTTGCTGATGGCAAGAAGCTAAGATGCATCACTGAGAGAGAAGGATTATAGTATCACATAAAATATTTTTTTTCTTGAAAGCTGGAACAGTAGAAATAGGGTGCAACTGAATAGAAGCAGATGCAAAGTCTTAATAACAGTGACTAATAAAGATTTTTCCTGTAAGTGCAAAAGTCATCAGTTTGGAAATTATCAAAGCAGATGACGATCCAGATACACAAGTCGATCACAGGACGTTATGAATCACTAGTGTGATAGAGTGAAGGAAAAAAGAAAGAATGAGTGATGTTTCAGGATGGTGTGACTTTTCCTGCAATATTATGTTCAACCCTGGTCATCCATCCTCAAGAGAAACTCAGATCGGAGCAGGTGGAAATGCCAGTTACTGGTTTGATGAAGGGAACTGAGAATTTACATGAGAACAACAGAACAGCTTGGCTTCTGTAGTCCAGCCCAGTTACCTGCAGCTTCTGATCCACAGACTTATGAAGATCCTGCTTCTAAAAGGGTCATTAAGATTATTAAGACAAGCAGAGCAAGGTGCCCCAGCCTGTGATCACAGAAACTGGTAGTCAGTTGTAATCCGTTTCATTTTAGAGCAAATACACACTTTTTACCAATGGTATTACACTCTAAATCACAACTGACTGCATCGCCATGGTCTGTTAAGGGACTCTAGACAATCAGATTAAATGTAGGCACTTAAGCGTAAGATTCATACACCTACCCAGACAAGAGATAATTCCAGTTCTAGCACTTATAAAACATTATAAGGTCAGGAGATTCATGGAAATGTTTTATTAATTTGGAATTTGACAAATTAAAAGAGAGAAGAAAGAAGCACAGACTGAAGCAATCCTTATGTTCAGACAACATGATGTTAAGGAATCACTACAGATTATCGTAGAAGATGCTGTGTCAAATTAAATTAAAGAGGAAGCTCATTTTCACAGGCAGCTGTAAGCTTACGCTTCTCTCCCCACCTCATTCAAAGAGCAGAAATCAGTCATGCTTCAGTCAAGCACAGATCCGCAAGTGTATTGCCAGCCTTGGGTAGAGAAGGGGAAATTAAATTAAAGGTTTACGTATTTTCCAAGTTAAGTTTAAACCACATTTCCTCCTAAATTTTATTTACATGCAGCTTTCAAGATTGAAGGGTATTATCTCAAATTAAAAGTGTTAATATTCTTGGCATGGAATCATTTGCACTGAGAGGCAAATCCTTCCCCAAAATTTCACACTTTAGAAGTTTCTTTTTTCCTCTTACTAGGTGAACTTGAGGAGACCATTCCATTTCTGGACCCCCAAAATAAGTGCTCTACTGAAAAACAACTACTGAAAATGTTCACATTAATAGATGCGCATTAATGAATCAACATTAAGATTACTGTTTCATTATTAGTTCAATACCACCTATCTTCAAGGGAGTACATTTTTCTATAATATAGCATTAAAATGTGTGATTTGAAAATTTGGTTTAACAGCATAATTCAGCTAATAAAACTGTGGACAGAATCACTTTGTCACACTCCCTAGGAAAGACAAATGGTACTTAAATATATTGACTCAGCCATCACCTCCCACCTTCTGACTCCTTTTTGGAGATCCAGAAAGGCTGTTTTCTAAACAAGGACTCCCTTAACATGCATGGTTTATAACATGCTAGTAAAAACATAACTGGCCTTTAATAAAGATAAAACGGTAAACTATGTCTCCTTTTACAAGATGTGGGGAAAAAAACCCCAAACTCGAAGAGTTCAAAGGTACAGAACAAGATGTTTGAACTTTCTTCTTTGAATTTCATTTGCATCCTTTGCTCTTTTAATGTAGGTCAGTAAAGAGTGACATCATTGTTTTCTTCGATTTTCAATGCTTAGATCAATTTAGGAAGAGGAAAATCTAGAATACAAAAAATTCATTTGTCAAAAATTTTATTTATTCATCACATCTAGGCATTGGTGTTCCTTAGGAAGCCATTAGCCTACTGTACAAGCTACAAAGGGATACACTCGTCCCTGTGTCTTGGAATTCTACATAATTCCTGTGTGGGAGACCCCCGGCAAGAAGAACTGTGCCTGTGTTCCTGCCAATGACACAGCATTTTTCCAGCTGTGAGGGAAACGCTCAGTACTGTAGCAGAACAAGAATGACCATCCAGCTGGCTGGGGGAAGGGAGAAGAGAGAAAGGGAAGACACTATTTTATGGTCTCCTACAACATAAGGGGAAAAATGCCTCTGCTCAGCAAGCCCTTCAGGGCCCAGCAAGAACAGCACTAGATCGCCTCATCTGAGCTTCTCTCTTTCCTGGCTCAACAGGCATTGCTGGAGCTCACTGCTACAAGCAAGAAAGGTAAAGATGAATGAGAAGAGGTGGCAAAACCCAAAAATTGGTGCATACTTGATGACACACAGCATCCACCTGTGAGCTAGAGTCCTGGCCATAATGATAAAGTTTATTTCTTTTAAAGCTGAAACAGAACTTCTGGGAAAACATGTTCTCAAAAGATCCTCCTTCAGTTCTCTGCCTCCCTCAACCAGAACTGGTATATTCAACAGGTAATATTCTCAAGAACGGAGCAGAACAACCTACCACAACATGTGTAACAGAATGGCACAATAACCTATGTGAAGCATCTCAGAACTGTGGTTAAGGCTATATTCTTCTTCTTTTCTTTCCAACAAAGGTCAAGCATAATGAATAGGTGGTGAAAATGCCAGTCAATAAGATGGTGCTGACAAGAAGATATCCCTCGGGAAGGTCTCTCCTCCGTCATGGACAGCAACTGACCAGGGAGTACTGAATCTCAGCTGTCAGCCAAAAAAGTGCTATTCAGTGGTTTTATAAAGAAACAGAGTAATACTCTTACTCATTTTTCTTTTTTAGTTAAAAAGAAGGATACGAAATAGAAGAAAAAACACAAGAGAAAAATGGATTTATATGTCCTCTGCAATTTCTTTAGTCAGTAGATAAGCAAGGAAAAACTATGGCTTTCAGCTACATGACTATAAGCTGTAATTACAAAGCCTGGTGATAATAAATGCAAAACTACAATTCCAAGACTACTGTTACTCCCTTTTTCTACACATTACTAAACTTTCTCATAGAAACAAACTGTAATACAGAAGTAGGAGGGGATTCAGTTTAAAACCATGTCACTCCTAGAAAACTGCATCTGTAAGCAGCTAGTAGTCTAATCTGCGAATGAGATCACCACTAGCATTTATGTATATACCAGGCAGACTTGATATATTTCATATACTTGTAAAATTTGCTTTACAGTGCAAAGAAGGCAAAAGAGCATTTTTTCCTCCCACCCAGTTTTTCACTAAATTTAGCTTTGTAAGACTAAGCTTCAGCTAAACCTATAATGAGAGCAGAAACCCAACAGTTAAATGTGAGCTAGGTATCCAACCTGTCACTGTCTAGTTCTCTACCACGTTTG